GTTCAACAGTACATGTGTTGTGTATTTGCCTGGATTCTGCTTGAAGCAGAAACCTTCCACAAGTTTGTTTTTTTAAGTTCTACACTGCTGCTTCTATAGCCCTCCTTGGAACACCAATTATTTTCTTCAAGCTGGCTGATGTATAGTTTAATTTCTTGGCAAAAAGTAGCAGCCCCACATGATGCTGTTATGGAAAGCAGCATATGGACAGATTGCATATGTGTAGAAATGAGTCTTTCTGAAGAATGCTAAATTGTTCACTTTTTGCATGGACAGATGTACACAGATGGGTGCTAAGAGAGGCTGCAAAATTACTGAATAAGTAGACAGATTTATTTTCGTGATTCTAACTGGACAGTGCTGTAGATTTTTTAGACTTGATTTTGCAGTTATAGATTGTCATGCAACAGTGACTACTTCCAAATACGCTGCTGGGATTCCAGAATATGGATGGAATGATGACCTTATCACAAGAGGTTCCAAACTCAGCATTATTGTTGTTCGTTTTCCTCCCACTGGCCAATCCCATTTTCTGTTGACAAAAAATGAAAGAGGACTTAAGGGTACTCTATTAAAGTGACCTGTACTATCCAACCTACTTGGTTTCAGGAAAGAAAGCCTAATTCTTCCAGTTGTCCATAAAATCCCAGAAATTTAATTAAGGACTTTAAGGAATGTGGGTGGACTCTTCTTATCAACTCAAAGCAGGGGTGAAATTCAGCAGGTTCTGACAGGTTCTGGAGAACCATAGCAGAAATTTTGAGTAGTTCTGAGAACTGGCAAATACCACCACTGGCTGGCCCCAGAGTGGGGAGAGAATGGAGTTTTTGAAATATCCTTCGCCCTGGAGTGGGGATTTTGCAGTATCCTTCCCCTGCCACGCCCACCAAGCCACAGCCACAGAACCGGTGGTAAAAAAATTGAATTTCACCACTGACTCAAAGAGTTTGCTTAATGTCAAATTGTTATAGTACCATATAGTACCTGAATATTCCTCTGCAATCCCCATCCCCTCCAATGTATATTTATTTTATTTATATCTTTGGTTCTTTGTATAATTGATGATGGCATACATAATGCACCATCCCCATAACAATAACCCTATGAGGTGGGTTGGGCCAAGGGAGACGGGGAACAGGTGGCCCAAAGTCATCCAGATGGTTTCTGTGCTAGAAAGAGGACTGGAATTCATAGTGTCTCAGTTTCCAGTTCAGCATTTTAACCACTAAACTAAATTGGCACTCATCTTAAGAAACTTTTCTGTGTGAATATTTATTACAGACATTTTAATACAAAAGTTCTGTCACAGTAGCTCATCATTTAAAAATTAATAGTACAATAACAACCAAAACAGTAACTATAGCCACAAATCTTTATAATAATCCTTGAAAGCTGAGAAAGCAGTATAAAATATCATGAAGCATTAGCCTAAAATTAGTCCGATAATATTCCAAAATAGATCAAGAACAATAATTAAGCCAAAAATAAGCCTTTAGAGAAACATCTTTAGGCATTAATGATAGTAACAACAACAGCAATAACAATGCTAAATACATTTCTCGAGGGAGAAGTCTGTACATGAAAAGCTTCTCCTTGTGTAATGCATATATAAGCTCTACAGGCAAGTTTCCAAACAGTTCCTGAAAGTACAGGTATTCCATCAAGTAACTCAGTGCCAAATTGCTACAGAAGTTAAAACCAATTGAAAATATGTGGAAAACAAGAGGCAACTAGAGCACTCACATAACATTGGCCTGACATCTTCCAAAAACCTTGCTTACAGCGTAAAGCCTCTCACCCAATGACTACTAACCATCTGAATGAACTGATTACTCAAAAGCCTTGCTTTTGGTTTAATACCCAATCCAATGTCTATAGGTTCTGAGTTTCTCTAAAAAGGGCAGTGAGGTAGGATCACAAATTCATTTTTAAAAATATATTATCTCTTCCCTCTATGCCCATCAGGGGTGAAATTCAGCAGATTCTGACAGGTTCTGGAGAACCAGTAGCAAAAAATTAGAGTAGTTTGGAGAACCGGCAAATGCCACCCATCTCTGACTGGCCCCAGAATGAGGTGGGAATGGGGATTTTACAGTATCCTTCCCCTGTCAAGCTCACAGAACCGGTAGTAAAAAAATTGAATTTCAGCACTGCTGCCCATCCTCTGCTCTACCCATGCAGCCAATATTTCCTTTCTGTTGCTATTTGGCTAAGGGAAGAGAAAACAAACCTGGTTTTCCAAAGCAATATTGTATGTATCGGGTGCATAGAAGGGTATCCAGCAGCCATGTTGAAATAAAAACTGAAGAGTTTTTTTAATGGAATTTCCACACAGGTCTTCTGTGACAGGTTGCAGACTACCCTGGACCTCTGTATTTCCAGAATACCAGCAATGTTGGAATGCAGCTAACCTGATTTACAGCATTTTTGACTTAACCTTGTATAGGTGAAACCACCATGAAACTGGGTGGGGTTGTTTCTTTGAGGTAGAGTAGCTTCATTTGAAAGGGACATTTTAAATGAAGGAATTCTTTCTCACCCTTCCTCCCAGCTCCCAAATTTTGTGTCCTTTAAGCTTGAGAATTCTGCAACTTCCCTTCAGTAGCTCAGGCAAAATAAGCAGATCTTATTTTGTCAAATTCCCCTTGTTTCATTACTTCTTGCCTGCCTGCTTTTTCCACTGAAGTCTGATCACCTTCAAAATGTTTCTGAGGTTTAGAGAAACTAAAATAGTAATAATGTTGAAGTGACCTTAGCACAGAATGTAAGGTATGTATCCAATGTATCCTGGGGGAGCAATTACTAGTCAATTTACTGTATGCAATGCTGAACTGGATGGAGAAAAAGTTTACTTGTAAGGTTTCTTATGTGTTAGAGAGAGCTAGAAGAGGCAGTCATTTAGCTTACTAAGTAAGACCAATCCATAGATGTAAAATGAAAACAGAAGCTAATGAACTTTATTAAAATCTAAATTTTAATCTCTCTTTCTTTCTATCTTCACTGGTGGAAAGTCTTGAAATTCTTCATTGTGGCTCATTCTTCAAGAGCATCCCATATACCTGTTCTACCTGCTTCAGTACTGCCAGTCTGTTTATGAAAGGAGCATGAACCTTTAGTATTAGCACATTCCAGTTGAAGTAAAGAAACCAAATCATTGCCAGGAGTTCAGATTCCAAAGGTGGGTTCTGCTTATGGGAAAAGAGATCTTACTTCCACCAGAGAAGCTCTAAAGCAGTGGAATCCATGATCACAGTGACCTAGTGGAATCTTTCATGAATGTCTGACTTATATGGAGTCTTGAACACCTGGTAATGAACAGCAGTATTGTGCATAAGAGCAGAACTGAGTCATGTGCAGCACATACCATTCTAATGAGTAATACTGTTAGGCTACTGTGATAATGAGACTTAAGGGCCTTAGTATTATGCCTTTCTTTCCCTGCAGCCCACTCTTGAAGCTGGAGTAGTACTGTAGCTGGTCAGAGAAGAGCTGGCCCCGTGTCTCCCAGCTGTAATGGACACAGCCAAAAGCTATTAATGCACAGCTGCTTGTAATCAACTTGGAGCAATGCCCAGCCATGTTTCTGCTTTGCAACTTGTTCTTTCTTCCACTGCAGTTGCATAGGGACGTTGTAAGATGATGAGCTGGAAGTCTAATTGGTTTGTTTTCTCTATCCCATTCCACGCAGCCTGGTAAGAGAATCCATAAGGCTGCTTTCTTTCGCAGAGCACTTTGTTCCCTTGTTGCTGGGTGCCGTATGCACTTATATTGTATAATTGCAATAATGGGAATAATGATTGTGGATTTGAAAAAAAGGCTGTTGGCTCCACTTGCATATATTGGATCCCTTAATTGTATTTCTTCTTTTGTCACACAGATGATGATTTTCACTATGCTTTGGTACTGGGACTATGCGTGGCATTAGCTTGAGTAGAAGTCTGCTTCTGCCATGAGAGTTGTCTTTGCTATCTTCTCTAATGCAATATACTGTGTATCTTTCTGACCTGGATGATCCCACTGTTCCCACTTCTCCTGAACAACCAAATCTGTTCAGAAAGTTGCAGGAAGAGATGTAATTCACACATAAGCTATACCAGTTCTTCTGTTGACTGAATATAATTGGATATAACCTCATAGATTCAAGTGCTTTGCTATCCCCACAGATTCTCTTGCTTCTGATGCAACTGGGCTCACATCCTACTTTTTCCATCATTTCCTGCCTCTTCCTTTCTCAAATCTGCCATCTATATCTCAATGTTTGTATATTTCAATGACCACAGAAGAAGTTGGACAATATATATGTCTTGAGGATGTAGCAATATACTGTGAGGAGCTTGAGTATTTTCCTGATCATAAAGTGTTAGGTGGATAGAAGCAAAGCGACAATCTTGAGCTTCATTTGCTTTAAATTGTGAATCTGCAAGATGGTACTTGTGTTGTTGTTTTCGGAATGCTTGAACAATGGTTTTGGTTGATTTGAAAATACATGAGCCAGTTTCATTGTATCTAGCCTAACAAACAGTTTAGGATGAATGTCACCAGCAAAATATTTATATTACTGTTGGTCCCTGAATTCCTCAGAATGGTTTTATAGGGGCAGCATTTGGTTGCTAAAACTCATCCAGTTGGTGGATTTTACCAATGTTGTTGATGCATAAGGATATTATAAACATAGACAGTGTGTGAATTTGCCTTTCAGGCAGGGCATGAAGTATGTTTCTTTTCCAACCACTATAAGCAATAATATTGTTGAATTGCTACAGTACAGGTTCCACAACATTCCATTATCTTCCCTGTTTCCTCAGAATGTTCCTTTTATGAAAGGCCTGAATAGATTTCTCAATCTGCAGATGGTAAGATAATTGGGATGTTTGGAATCTAAAGCTTATTGAGTATTCAAACTGCACTATTCTGTTCCCAGGAAATTTTAAGGGTGTGCTTGAATTTCATTCTGTAACTTCTTCTGTAAAATCTTGCTTTTTCTGTCATTCTTTCAACAGAAGCCTAGGAAGGTCATTCCTCAAGTTGGAGAAGATTCTCAAAATGGTCATCTTCCACCTGGCTGGCAAAGTTATATGTCCCCTCAGGGGCGAAGATATTATGTGAACACCTTCACCAACGGTAAGCTTCATTTACACGCTAGTTTTATTTGTTCAGAAAACTCTGCTCCTTTCCTCTAACATCAAAGGTAGAGAAAACATAACCTAACACTATGAAGAGTAGCCAAACACCTTCTTGTACAATCTATAAAATAACTGTGCTTCTTTGCTGGTCATTGTAGACAACCTGATTATCTGCCTCTCTCTAGATTTCCAATCTGTTCTCATATTATTCCCAGAATAAAATCAACTCTCTCTTTTTTTGCCAAAGAAAGTGATATCCTCTGTTCTCTTACCAGACATTCTCTGTACAATTTTGGGACAGAATGTTTTGAAAATGTTCTATTTTCCATCTTGATTTGTGCTGTCTTCTGGACCATGCCATTCTAGCAATCACTTTACTAGTTTCCAGAAGTTGTTTGGGCTGCCCTTGGGTATCAGACTAGGAAACAAGTCTGCTTCTTGCCAAAACTCTAGGTATGGGACATTCTGAACCTCTTCTGATTCAGAGGATTTACTTCTGGAAAATTTTAAAAACTGCCTGTTGAAGTGGTACATACCAGAAGAGGTTCAGTACAGTCTGCAGTTCTGCAAAACATTCCATTCTCAAACTGGTGAATTTTGTATGTCTTACTTTGTTTCCTTCCAAAACTGAAGGGTTTTTACTGGGATTAGGAATTGAATGTAGACAGTAAGAACAAAGCAGCAAAGCAACCATACTCAAAGCCATTTTGAACAGAGCTGAGCCCAATGGAACAGTCTACTGCAAAGGAGCTCATATTTTGAATTTATCCACCCCTCATCCTTGAAAGCTCAAATCTATTAATTGCACAGCAAATGATAATAAAATTTATGCACTCATAGTTGTTAACGTTTGTAACAAGTTAATTCAACAAGAAAATGAATCATATTTGGATGAGTTACTTACAGGTACACCTTAACCTACTACTACAATTGGCGTCAGAATTTCTGCTGCTAAGGTGGTTGTTAAGTGAATTGTTCCATTTTAGAACCATTTTTGCAAATCGCTGCAATTGTTAAGTGAATCGTGTGGTTGTTAAGTGAATCCTGTTCCCCCTATTAACTTTGCTTGCCTGGGAAGGTCTCAAATGGAACTCACATAACACCCCCCCTCCTCTCCGGAATGCTGCAATTGTCATAAATGCATGCCAGTTGCCAAGGGTCTACATTTTGATCACATGACTGTGAGGATGCTGTGAGAATAAGCTTTCAATCACTTTTATCAGAGCAGCTGTAACTTTGAACAATCACTTAATAAATGGTTGTAAGTTGATGATTACCTGCATTATGCATCATAGCAGGTGGCAACATCTAGCCAACTTTGGTTGAAAAGCTAAGCAGGACTAGATCCCTTTAGAACGTAAATGCAAAGCTGTGAAGAAGTCCAAGCTGGGAAATCAAAAAAGGATTCCAGAAGAAGGCAGTGGCAAACAACTTCCATATAGTTTTTAAGAGCCTCAGTGGTGCAGTGGTTAGAATGCAGTACTGCAGGCTACTTCTGCTGACTGCTGTCTGTCTGCAATTTGGCATTTCAAATCCCATCAGTCTCAAAGTTGACCCAGCCTTCCATCCTTTTAACAGAACTTTTTTATTTTTCTTTAAAAAAAAAACACAAATATGTCATCATTTGTCAATCATTAAAACATTGAAGTACAATTTTTTTTTGTGTGTACCCCTCCCTCCCTCCCCCCCCCCCCCCCCCCTCCTCCTCCCCCC